AAGTGTCACCAGGCAATGGGCAGCTTCCCTCTTCCTCTTGGTTTGCTACAGCACTAGACTTCCTCTTCATGTGTTCCGTGAGATCTTTCTCTGTTCAACTGCTGAAGAGATTTCCCTCTCATTTCTCTGGCAGGTAACTTCGGAACAAGTTCTGCGAAGAACGCCTTGTGAAAGCTTTGCCTGAGGAGTGCTCTCAGTTCAAAGTGACTTCAAGATACACAGCAATGACAACAAGGAAAACAAGTACTAGAAAAATATTTTTGAGGCTACATACCTGTGCTGTTAAGGGCGGAAATAAGATTTTGCTGTAAAAAGAGAGGCCTGGGAAACCAAGCAGAAGGCTGCAGCAGTACAAAAACCGCTGTTCAGGAGATTGTATCTGTGAGCCCCTGGCATCATATTTGAATTATAAATGTGAAAGAATGGCAAGCACTCTACCTCCCTATCCTAGATCAGACACAGGGGAGAAGTTACATCAMTGTATGGAGTGTGGAAAACAATTTGATTGGAAAAGTTCTCTTACTGTACATGAACGGACCCACACAGGGGAGAAGCCATATCAATGCATGGAATGTGGAGAAAGCTTCAGTCAGAGTGGCCATCTACGTTCCCATGAAAGGATCCACACAGGGGAGAAACCACATAAATGCATGGAATGTGGAGAAAGCTTCAGTCAGAGTGGCAGTCTATGGTCCCATCAAAGGAAGCACACAGGGGAGAAGCCATATAAATGTGTGGAATGTGGAAAGAGCTTCAGTCACAGTGGCCATCTATGTTCCCATCAAAGGAAGCACACAGGGGAGAAGCCATATAAATGCATGGAATGTGGAGAAAGCTTCAGTCAGAGTGGAAATCTGCGTACCCATCAAAGGATCCACACAGGGGAGAAGCCATATAAATGCGTGGAATGTGGAGAAAGCTTCAGTCGGAGTGGACATCTGCGTACCCATCAAAGGAAGCACACAGGGGAGAAGCCATATAAATGCGTGGAATGTGGAAAGAGCTTCAGTCACAGTGGCACTCTATGTTCCCATCAAAGGATCCACACAGGGGAGAAGCCACATAAATGCGTGGAATGTGGAGAAAGCTTCAGTCGTAGAGATAGTCTGCGTTCCCATCAAAGGAAGCACACAGGGGAGAAGCCACATAAATGCGTGGAATGTGGAGAAAGCTTCAGTCGTAGAGATAATCTGTGTTCTCATCAAAGGAAGCACACAGGGGAYAAGCCATATAAATGTATGGAATGTGGAGAAAGCTTCAGTCTGAGTGGCAGTCTACGTAGACATCAAAGGAGTCATACAGGGGAGAAGCCATATAAATGTATGGAATGTGGAAAGAGCTTCAGTGAGAGTGGCAATCTACGTTCCCATCAAAGGATCCACACAGGGGAGAAGCCATATAAATGCATGGAATGTGGAAAGAGCTTCA